GCCGGCATGGTGTTGCAGGAGCCCGTCGGGGCACCGAGTCTGTCGACTGCAGCGGGGGGGGCCGGTGATGCCGTCGCCGAGGTACGGCTGTCCCGGCTTCGCTGGGCCGTGCTGCTGCTCTTCAGCAGCTACTCCCTGTGCAACGCCTTCCAGTGGATCCAGTACGGCAGCATCAGCAACGTCTTCGTGAACTTCTACGACGTGAGCACCTTCGCCATCGACTGGCTTTCCATGAGCTACATGCTCGTCTATATCCCCCTGCTCTTCCCTGTCGCCTGGCTGCTGGACAAGAGGGGCCTGCGCATCATCGCCCTGGCTGGCTCGGCCCTCAATGCCATGGGTGCCTGGGTGAAGCTGGGCAGCCTGAAGCCGCACCTCTTCCCCGTCACTGTCCTGGGACAGGTCATCTGTGGCCTGGCCCAGGTCTTCATCCTGGGTATGCCCTCACGCATCGCCTCGGTCTGGTTTGGCTCCCACGAGGTCTCCACCGCCTGCTCCATTGCGGTCTTTGGGAACCAGGTAATGGGGCAGCTGCACCCTGGCTGGCCACGCGTGTGGGGTGGGCTGGCAGCTGCCTGGCCGGAGAACCGGAGTGCTAAGGCAGCAAAGCAGGGAGGGGTAAGAGATGCACATGGCCTGAAGGGCAGCCGCAGGGATAACATGAACTTACATGAAATTCCCTCTGGAAAATGCAGCTGGTATCTGGAAGGATGCCATTGGTGTTAGCACGAGGGCCGATGGTGGTGGCAGAGACGAGTGGAACCTCCATCTACAAAGTTTGGTGGGGGTTAGGTATGATTCTGGCTTTGAGAGGTCTTTGGCTCAGGCTCTTCTCCTGTGCCCTCCACTTCTCATGTGTGTGAATCTCCAGTCCAGGGCTGTGATGCAGTAGAACTATGAATCGCCTGGGGGGAAAGCACAGTGCTGAGAAACTGCTTCAGGCAGAGTGTCCTTCTAATCTTGTATCTGCAGTTGCATCTGGACTTGACACTGCAATATCCTCTTCTGTCTGCCAACCAGATGGGAAAAAGGAGGTTAGCTGTCTGCTGAAAACATTGTCATTGGGCCTTGGAGGAAAAGGACTTTAGCACTTTCATATCTCTTAACAGTAGGCACAGAGTTTCCACAAGCAGTTGCTTTGAAAAAAAGAAAAGTTCCATCAGGCTAGTGTGAGGTCAGCTCCCTGAGTGCTCTTGTATCAGTGCAGGTCCCGGAGGCCAGTGACCCACACTTGCTCAAGCTGTGACTGTCTTTTATTGTAGCCAGAGGAGAGAAAAATTTTTACACAGCTTTGAAAGGATAAGGGAAATATCTTCCTGACCCTTGCACCGGAACACCTGCTCATACCAGTTGAATGAAGTGAATAAGGCAATACTGAGGCAATGGGGTATAAGTAAAGTGAGCCTGACTCTGCAGCCCTGACACAAAGAAGGAGAAAGTGGACAGTAGGTGCTGGGCTGGACCTTCGCCCTTTGCTTTGAGATGCAATGTACTCCTCTGCATGTGAGTCTGCTCCACCCTGGACTATTCAGCCTGTCAGTGGCTGCCATCCTGATTTGAATGGTTTTCAGTTCAGGTAGCTTCTAATGCAGGCTGCTTCTTCCTGTGTTTCTGTATTTATTTAGATACTGCTGAGGCAAAATGAGTGAATGCTTGGAGATGTTATTTGAGGAATAGTAGTTTGCAGAGCACCACTAGGGAATTAAGGAGATCACTTTACATCTTTTGGAAAGAGAAAACATACTTATCTTTCCTTGAATGTATCTAAGCTTTCTTTTTTGCTATTATCATCCCTTCTAGTGGGCTGGCTTTAGTGTGTTTTTAAATGCATCTTTAGAGTGGAATGCATCTAACTTGGCATGAGCAAATAAGTAACTGAGCATTTTACTGTCAAGACTCTTTAAAAATTATTCAGGTGGAGTTACTCAACAGTGTTCAGTAGAAATCCAAACAATGAGGCTGTCAGGCTGTGCTATATGCCTGTGTGGAGTCATCATCATCCCAAAAGGAGTGGCTTAGTGTAGAGGTTGCGAAAAACAAACTTTGGCTACCCCTTTGGTGCTCCACACTGCTCTGGCAGTTGAACTGATGTGACAATGAGACCTCAGTTCAGTACATAGTCTTTGCTTTGCAAGCCCAGACTTTCCTTTTAGAGAATCAGAGAAGTCAGAAATGGTAGTGACTAAAGACAGAGCATACTCCGTAGGGAAGACCTATTTATTCCCATAGTCAAGCATAATCACAGTGAATGAAAACTAGCTATTTTGTTTACTGGTGAGATTGGGCAGGAGGAAGAAATAGAAGCATACATTTTTCCTGACTGCAGTTAAAGACTATATTAGGGAGTGTTAGCAAAAGGTATAATACAGTGGTTTTGTAATTGCAGTATGGTAAATTATTCCCTATGCTCGTTTCTCTACAACTGTATGGTTTTCCTTTCCTTGCTGTGGCACTTAGTTTAGTTACTATTATTATTATTTTTATTGAATACCAAGCACTGTTCTCCCTCTCCATTAAGAGTTGTAAGCAACTGCATGAAGAAGCAGGGAAGCGGTACTGCTTCTTTATTTGCTATACCTGCCCTCTTTCTGCTCTTGCTGTCTTGGCCCCAGGCTGCACTTCAGCAGAGCTGTCCTGAGGAAAACCCTGTCTGCTGGCTCATCTTGGTCTGCCGGGGCCATGTTTGCTCAGGACACTGCCTCTGCTCGCTGACTGATGGTAACCTTCAAGTTTAAAGTTTGCCCTGAAGAGTAAATCATTGAATCAATCAGCCAAGGTATTAAATACCCTTAAAAAACCCCAAACAACCCCTAGTAAGGTATCAGAATCTCCTCACTTATTTCTGGCAGTATGTTGGCTGTGCTATCTGAAGTGTAAAAATGGGTTAGATTGAGCGCTCTTGAATCAGTGCTGGCAAGCTTCTAGAAGAGTGTCAACATCTTCAACATGTGGATATGATCGCATTCTCTCGTTTACCCACTGCTTGTTTTCATGACATTTTACTTTGCTGATTTTACCAGGAAGATGTGTAGGTGTTTTTCCATTTTTTTTTCCTTGTCATGGGAGTTCATGTGTGGGGAGGTATAGAATGAAGCTTGAGTGTTGGATGCTTTGGCATTAATATATTAGTGTTATTGAAAAACTACTGGTTTCCCATTGCTTGAAAGACTAGGAAAAATTTATATGGGGACTCTTCCTTATGCTGAAGATCTGGGGTAAAGAAGCAGAAGTGTTATGGAGAGTTCTTCATATGTATTTTAATATTGGCAGGAGTTTGTCATGCTTATGAAATACAACTGTCAGTAGTAGTGTGCCTGCTACATCAGCAGTGTTCCCTGTGGAACACCTCGGTGCTGGATATCTGTGTGAAGTCCCACACACGAGGTTGACAGGAGAGAGCAGTCTGAATAAGGCCATGCTGTTAGCATTTTGTTGGATTGATTCATCAGCTGTGTCCCTGCTTGGGACTGTGGCTCAGACCTGACAGGCAGCAGCAAACAGGCTTCTAAACTTCTGTGCTGATGGCAGACAGTCCATCATTCTCCCTGGTGATGGGCCTGCAGTGGGAAGAAACTCTCCTGAGATACTGGCATTTGCTTGCTGGAGCAGCAGGTCTTGCCTCTTCATTTAACACACTTGCTCTTCTGCAATGTGGAGATAAGGATGCACATGGTCCTTTAGCATGACAGAACTAACATGGTGGTGGGGGTGTTTAGGTTTCATGGCATTTTGAAATGTATAAGCTGGAGTCTTATGGCCAGGTGCCAGCTCTCTCCTGCAGCTGCCATGGTGCATGCTGAACTGCTGTGCCTGGATTTTATGTATATCTCACTCTTACTAGTTTGTCTCCCTGTTGTCACTTGATGGGCAAGGGACATGGGTAGCATGGAGAGAAGTGTATAACTGTGTTTGTTGCACACAGACAAAGAACATTTGTGGATTTGGTTTGTATTCCTTCGCCACCAGTACTGGGTTTTTTGTTGATTGAGAGAGACCTTGTTCCTGTTTCTTGCTGTTTTGACAAAGAAACAAGCTGCTGATGGACTTGGGAGTAAGTAAGTATATGGGCCTGTTAAATTATCTTTTTGCAGTAGTTTTACCTTTTTTTTTTTTTTTTTTTTTTCTTTTAAGCAGGGCTTGAAAAAAAGTGATGTGATTTAGGAGGAAAGAAAACTTCAGCCTCATTAAGCTCTGCTTTAGGGGAAAAATCATGAACACCTTATAGATCTTAGGATCTGTCCCTGTTCTGATGTAGCTGCAATGTGAGTTCAGAGATTTAGGGCTTCCATAACAGAAACAGCCTGAGGCTGAGGTTTTAGATGGTATCTGCAGCCTGCTGGGAGTGCCAGTCTTAAGGTGATTTAGGTGATGGCTTTTGAAATGGACAAACCTGGTGATGAGCTGTGAATGAAATTCAGGGAAATGTTCTCTGTCTCACTCCTGATGGGTCCTTTCCTCTGTTTTGAACTGGGGGAAAGAGTCTCCCTGGGGTAGTGTCTGAGATGGATTTTGCCGTGTAATTAGGTCTGCAATATCTGAATGGCCATTACATTTGAGCTGGTGATCCTACAGTGCTGTTTGTGCTGAGCATGTGCCATTGTTTGATGCCTCACTGATAACTGTACCTTTCTGTACCTTTTACCCTTCAGGGAAAGCAGCATCTTAAAGTCTAAGAAGCACTGTGGAAACGTATCTAATGTCCTGTGGATCCTTGTCTTCCAGTCTTTGAGTAGACTTCTAGATCTTCTTGGGCTGCTCTGTCTCTGATGGAGGATTCTAATCCCTTCCAGTGATTCCCTGTTACAAATATGCACAGGTGGTGGTGACAGCTCTTCAGCTTGGCCCTGTATCTCTCAGAGTTTTAGCTATCAGAATGGAGAAGATTCTAGTAGCAGTAGCTAATGGTTGACATAGTTGCTTATAGTGACAGTAGTTAATGGGTGACATTCTCAAGCCCTGTCTCCTTTCTCTCCCTGAAAAAAAAAGGGCAGGGTGGATCAGAGCACTTGGATCTCAAGGAGTGCTATGTGGCCAACTCTCCAAGATCCTGAGTGTGGCTCAGTGTGGGAGGGCATGCTGACCAAATAGCAATGTAGCTTTTGCAGGAATGCCCCAAGTTCTATAAATGGACATGACAGCCTGAAATAAACTTTTTCTACCCTTTTCATCTGGTGCTCCCTTCCCAGACATACACCAAGGGCAGCTCCCCGTTCTCTCTCACAGAAGTTGGCTTTTGGGTTAAGTTCTACGTGGGGGTTTAAATGAATGTCTGCAGTGTTTCTGATGGGAGGGCCTCCCCTACAGCAAGCACCTCAGCACTTGCCCTGCAGGATATCCAGGACTGTGTGAGGTGACTGGAGTAGGTCCTTGACCAAAGCACATCCTCACTGAGGATTCCAATAGCAGCTGAAGTAGCTGTCAGAGCTGAAACCCCTCTGTTTTGTTCTCTCTCTTGTCTACTGCTGTTTCGCTGTGGTGCATTTCTTTCCCAGCAGACTGGGGGAAGGTGCATTCAAGGC